TGAGCGCTAAGCGATTCGCTTAGCGATTTTCGCACAACGAAGCGGGGGAGAACAGCTGATCGGCTGTTCCAAAAGGGCCACCGGAAGGTCCGCGCCGCATTTTCGCGCCCTGCCCTCGCTTACCGAGGGCGCGAAAATGGCGGCACTATGGAGAAACATCGCTTAACGGTGAGTTTTCAAGCCATAGGAACGCATTGAACGAAGTTCAATGCGTTTCTATGGCTTTTTTTATTCCGTTTAGCGATGTTTCGCTATAGTGAAGGTTAATCCGGAACGGATTAACCTCACTATGCGAGGCACCACTGTACTGTATTTTTCTGTGTATAAGATGATGATTTTATCTAAAATCTTTAGACTAAAAATTGAGGGTTGTCTTATACATGGAAGTAAGGGGGAAGGGATCAAAGCACTTAAGGATCATAGCCCTTTGATCCTGCAGCCCTTTGATTGCTGCTTTCCCCACCACTTCACAAGCCCTGTGGGATTTAGGAAGTGGTGGGGAAAGCAGCCATGAAAGGGCTGCAGGTTCAAAGGGCTACGATCCTACAGCTCTTTCATCTCTGGTTTCTCCCTCCACTTCCTAAGATTGCTGCTTTCCTCCTCTACTTCTGCAGCCCTTTGACCTGCTTTCGCGGGGCTTAGGAAGTGGAGGGGGAATGCAGTGATCAAATTTTTTAATTTGGGGTCAGAAAAGTGGGGGTTGTCTTATACATTGGTTTGCCTTATACATGGAAAAATATGGTATTTCCCTTAATGTGTACTTAACCCTAAGGAAGTGTTTAGTAGTTTGCTGGAAACTTTGAAGACTATACTTTGGGCTTACTCAACTGAAAGAGGATTGAGATAGTAGAGAGTACAAGCATCATCTTGAGACTTGTTACTTTGGGATATTTTGCCAGTAGAAGAGGGGAAAGGAAGGGAATGGGACAGCAGAGGGGGAAAGTAAAATGTGAATCAGAGTGTGAAGCCGAACTTTGTTTTATTTCACCCTAAATGGATAAACTGTATCACGTGGTTCATCATGAAATAAAGATGTAGAAGTTAATAACCAATGCATCATTTCAATTAAACCTAATACTGAAATTTCACTTAAAGTTCAGAGCAAATTTGAGAAAGAAACTAAATTGAGGAAATTCAAAGGAATTCAAAACATTTGAACCAAGAACTGGGGTAGGGGGAAATATGTCTTCAAAATCATTACTTGAATTCCCAGGGTAGAATCCAATTCCAACACTAAATTTAAATTTCAACCCCAAATTTCTCTGGCAAAAAAGGCAAAAGGCAACAAATAAAAAAATCTAGGAAAAATCCTCATGGGGCTTTCAAAAAACTCCCCTCTCACTTAACTGAAATGGCCTCTCTATGTGGTTTTTCTATCAATGTCTCCTTCAGGATCCTGTTGGCAAATGTGGAATGGAAGTGCTTTAGGGCCAGGGTGCCCTGTGTTTGCCCTGATGGTTTCCAGCTTGTAGTTATATAAACCAGAGATTGCACTGTCAAAAACAATGGAGATTTTCACTTGTGGAAGGAATTAATGAGCCAGAGAGAGAGAGAGAGAGAGAGAGAGGTACCATGTGCAGAACAGAGTATTATGTGCCTGCTCCACATTGGTGCTGGTGTTTTATGTGATTGATTAGAGACATAAATAGCCATTTGTGGAACTGGACTGCTTATTCTGGGTATGAGATTCAGACATAGGGAATGCCATAGGAAGGGTTTCTCTGAGTTTCAGATATTTAGATATGTTGTTTTTTTCTCAGTTTTCATTTAAAATACTTCCCTTGTCTGTCTCATAATGAGAGTGTGCAAATTTCAAGCATATCCGTCATGTATACAGTGGGCTCATAATAACAGATTATACCAAGAGAAATGTAGAGCAAAAGTCATGTATTACTTTCTCATAATAATTCTATTGCAGAGCATATTGTCATGTAAGTCTACAGAGTTATGAGCTACTACAAACTTTACCATATAATCTACTTCTTCAAAACTAAATACCTTTGAAATACCTCTAGATTCTAGAGTATTGGTTTGTTTTTGTGGGGTGCTAGTGATGTTTTGTTCCCTCCCCCCAATTTCTGGTTTGGAACAAGTGCATTGTTTTCTCATGTGGGATCTCTAGAAATCTCCAACATGCAGGTTCATAGATTTCTGGAATCCTATTCTATTTATAGATAAACATATGAAAAAAAAAATTTCTGTATAGCCCTATGTAGATTGTATTTGTTTTCAGTGTGGAAGGGATGGTCACTCTTGAGTCATCCTTCTCAGCCACTCTAGACGCTGTTCCATGTCCTCCATACAAAGCATGTTACCATAGTCTCGAGACTGAAGGAAGCCTACACAGTATGCAAAAGGGAAGTCTTGTAGAAAGTAGGAAGATGTTGTATATCCTTCAAGATGATATAGCATTATCGTATTAAACTCATGAAGGCCAAACTACATATTCCCATGTTGTGTTTTTATTCCAAAAAGAGCTGCAGCATACCTCCCAGTATGATTTGAGAGCTGCAGCATAGGGTGGGGAGAGAGTATCTACCGTAGCTTGTTTCTGAATGTCAAGGCTTCTCCAGAGTTGTTACTAGCCATGGGAGTGAAAAGACACAATATCTGCATGTTTTCTTCTGTGTCTGATAGCAGCTTGGGAAAGGAGTAATATAGAGTGGGACTGAGGCAAGAGGAAGGAAAGGAGTTACATCCTTTCCCTTTCCATTTCAACCCTTTCCCTAACATGTGAAAAGAAAATTATATGGGGAGAGGCAACCATGAACTTCCAACCTAATAATCAGTGTGGTCCTCAGATGTGTTGCTCCTTTACAATACATAAACTACACAATCTCAGGAAATCAAGGAGGCTGATAAATATAACAGGAAAATATACGTGAAAAATAACATGGACACTGTTCAGGTTCAGGATCAGTTAACGCCCTGAAGCTTGAACTGTTATTGGTGGTGGTGGTGGTGGGGGCTTTGCAACCAGCAACAAGGTCTGGGCAACTACTGTCATCTTCTTCAATGGAGTTATTCCATGACAGGTTACCATAATGCATTTTTTAAAATGTGGACTAACGTCACCTCTGGGGCCCCTCTAGGATTAGGGGCCCTGAAGCTTAAGCTTCCTTAGTTTCATAGTAGATTTAACATATATATACAAGAATAGAAGAATAGAAGTGGCAAGGTTTGTTATAGCAAAATTGAGAGAAATAGGTATGAGTTGTTTGCAAGCTATTGTCAACAGTTATCCCATGGTGACTAAAGGGTCTAGAAGTAGATTTAAGCATTTAGTGGTTCTTTTCTGAGACTTGAACTAGATGCGATATTCATGAATACGCATGACTTTTTTAAAAACCCTAGAGCAGCATTTGGAGATGAGTCTGAGTGGAAGGATGGTGAGCAGGACCTGCGTAATCCTTTCCCCTCCATCCATTGTTGTCCTGCTCCCCATTTCCCTCTGGATGCATTTCCATCTTCAGTTTCCAGTTTCGAACTGCAGCCCCCACCCCCTTTTTAAAAATCTTTTCCTCTGTGAAAAGCTTCTAGGACCGTTGAGCAAAAAATGGACAAAGGGGAGTGGGAATTAAGTAAACTCTCCCACATTTGTTCTCTTTGGATGTGAGGATGTTTTGAGGCTGTTTTTGCTTTAAAAAAATAAAGAGAAATCTATGCATGTCTAGATTGAGCTGAATGATTTTAGAACTGAGCCATTTATTCACTAGTAATTCATAGAGAGACCAGAAGAAAGACTAGACCAAGAGAGAATGGAAGAAATAAAGATGAGCACCGTCCAACCACAACATTGTAAGAAAATTCAGTAACAAGGAGAAACCATTGTTTGGGAATTTCCAGTGTTTTTAATTGGTGTTCCTTGTAACCACCTTCATCCTGAACAAGGTTCATCAATCGATCAGTTTTGTTCCCATCAAAACTCATTGTTTCCTTCCAATGACAGCTGAACCAGTGCAAATACCTGAAAAGACAATATACAATGTATGTACAATATATATGCAGTATATACAAATTATATACATGTTTGTCTGCTTTTGCATATAGATTTTATACATATTAACTCTTGGGAGAGCTGATCATGGGGCGTGGAGTATTCTTTTTAAGAAGTATGCATACATTTGCTTATATATATGGGCAACCTGCAGGATGGGAGAAATGAAGGGAAAGGAAATGACCTCCATTGGTTTTCTTGTTTTACAGAAGGAACACTCACCCTGCCTTTGGTCTGTTTGTTTCTTTGTATTTTTTCCCCTCCAGAACCCCTCCTTGCTGAACCTGCTACCCGTAGCCCTGCTGTTTTGCAAAAGCCGGAGCCTACGACACGCATGTAGGGGAGGGGCTAGCATCCTCAGCAGCAGCTGTCCTTCCCCACTAGATGTGACTGTTATGCTAGCTTTCCTTCATTTATTCCATTTGTAGGTTATTTTTGGTTCTGGGGGGGGGGGTTGTCTGTTGGGAGGTTTTTGTTTTGATCCTGTAAGGTTAGCTGTGTAGCTTGATTTCTTCTGTGCAAACCAAACTTGGGAATACAGAGCTCTTAAAAATACAATTTTATCCATGATAAGTTGACAGATGCTGTCCTATTGACCCGTAAACCATGAAAATAGGGAGAAATTCTTCTTTCAGCCATAGGTTTCAATCGGTTCAAGTTAATCTCCAAGAAAAAGAAAAAGAGGAAGAGCAAGTAGTTCTTTTCTCACTCTTTCCTTTTTTTCTTCATTAAAAGAATGAAAGAAAAAGGTCCAACGTGTTTTTAAAAGCTCTGAACAGAACTGCTTTGCCCATGGGGAAGTGGGAAGGAATGACTTTGGTTTTTCTTATGCCTGGCAGCAAAAGGGTTAATGCCTGCTTTCCTCTTTGATATCCATTAGTTTGGAGCCCATGTTGTGATTAGTCCATGTCCATGTGTGTTTTGTTCCTGGACTTTATGACTTTGATTAAAAGGGCAATGCAAAATGCACACTAATAAAACCAGTCATTTCCCATTCCTCCAGGTCACCCAACCTGCTTGCAATTCACAGCAAACATGACAGAGGCTGTCAAAACTTATCAGTGGCAATGCATTGAGTGCAAATCTTGCAGCCTCTGCGGGACCTCCGAGAACGATGTAAGTTTCTCTTTATCACCAACAGCTACATTAGCAACTGCTTTGGAAAGATACTGGAAAGATAACTTGGAATATTGTGGGTTGGAAAGGCAAAAGTAATGATAATGTTATTTTGAATTACCTTAAAGGCTTTGATATTGTACTTCTACAGGAAACCTGGGTTTCTGACCAAGTTCAGCTGGGAGGGTATAAGTCCTATTGTGCACCAGCAATCAAGGTTAAAACCAAATGTCATCCAACAGCCGGCTTAGCCACATTAACACCTGTTTAGTTTCTGAGCATATAGATATTTTTTCCTCCTAATATCACATGTTGGTCACTAAAGTTGAGACTCGTGGCAAGGTTTTGATCTTAATTAACATATATATTCCCCCGGATCCACAGTGGATCCTGCACTAGATCTTGAGAATAGGTTCCCCCTGGCCGAATTTATTATCGCGGGTGATGTTAATGCCAGAGTGGGGAGGGATGATCTGATATTTCTGAAAGCTCTTAAAGTGAAGAGTGATGTCTCCTGCTTTTCTGCATTGTTAGTAGATCTTCCAAGGATTGTTCCTATAAAGCTGCTGGACTTGTTCTAGATAAATTGTGTATCCGATTTAACCTAATCTGGCTTAATGGCCTAACGGAATTGCCTGAGGCAGGGGAGTTTACACATATCACTAACCAAGGATCCAGCATGATAGACTACATCATGCTCTTAATGTCCTTGAAACCATGGATAGTTAAATTTGCTGTGGGTGATTTTACAACCAGTGATCACCTTCCATTAACTGTGAAGGTGATTTTGGGATACAGCAGAAGGAATGTATCCTCAGACTTAAATAATGCCTCAGCGGCCCCAATTAAAATAGCTTGAAACAACTTGGTACTTCATAGGTTCCAAAATCTGCTATTAAGGGACAAGTGTAAGGACCTTCAGATTTCCATCACAAAATCCATCAAACCACTTGACAAAATTAAAGCATTTGATGGATTAATGGAACATCTCCACTGCGAATTAGGACGAGCTCCTTCAGCTCAAATGTGCAGCAATCGCTCAAAACAAAGAACTTGGTTTGATCCTAACTATAGGGATCTGAAAGTGCAAATCCGCTATTCATATCGGGAATATAGGAAGTCTGATTCTGCCCAAGATCGACACAAATACCTTTCCCTAAAAACTCAATTAAGGAATTGTATAAAAGAAATAATGCAGAAATTTATTTTGGAGCAATGGAACAAGCTCCAACAGGTAGTTACCCAGAAAAACAACAAACTTTCGGGGGGCATTCTGACTGGCTTCTCCAGGCTGGAAGTACAAGACCCAGCCATAATATCTCCACAAAGATGGGCCCAATACATTTTGACAAAGATATAGCTGTTAGATCCTCTAAACTCTTTGCTCTCTCTGATCTTCCTGTTTGGCCACCAGTAACCATAGAAGAGACCAAAGATCTAATTACCCAGTTAAAAGCTTGAAAAGCAGCCAGCCCTGATGCCATCCCACTGGACTTATTGAAATGAGTGGTGGGCTTCCCTTTTTGCTTCCCTTTTTACCGCTATAGATAATACTGGTATCTTGCCAAAATTCTGGATTAATGCAATTCCTGCCCCCATTTATTAAAAAAGGGGATTCTCACCTCCCAGAAAACTTCAGACCAATCAGTATTTTATCAGTAATTGGGAAACGCTATGTGAAACATCTAGTAATTAAACTTACTTCCTGGATTGATAATCAGGTGTTGCTTGGCCCTCAACAAGCTAGTTTCAGGAGAGGTGAAGGCCACAGTTGATAACTGCCTTATACTTTCTCATCTTATTAACAAAACAGTTAAGTATGAAAATTCTAAATTGTATGTGGCTTTCCTTGATCTAAAGGCAGCTTTTGATTCGGTATTTTATTTATTTTATTTTATTTATTTATTTATTTAATTTATATCCCGCCTATCTAGTCCAATGGACTACTCTAGGCGGCCATAGTTTCAATCTAGATAGTTTCTCTGGGAAAAACTTGAAAATACAGACATAGATAAAAGACTCCTTTGCTTCATAAGAATTTTATACTCTGGCACAACTGTCGGTGAGTAAACTAATGTATTCCCAACCAACAATGGAGTGAAGCAAGGATGTATTCTTGCTCCCTCCGTATTCAATCTATTCATGAATGATCTAGCCCCCTTTCTAGCCAGTGTGGAGGGCCATCCACCAAAATTGGGGATGCATCGTGTTCCGTTATTGCTTTATGCGGACTATGCTGTTATCATCTCGTGCTTCCATCCAGGTTTGAAATGTCTAATTAACAGAATTGTGGAATACCTGGAGAAAAACAAAATGTGACTGAATTATAATAAATCCAAAATCTTGGTTTTCTCAAAGTCTTGGAAGCAATTTTAACGGAATCTGAATGAACACAAAATTGAACAGGTTAAAGAGTATAAATATCTAAGCATCTTGTTCCACTACAAACATTCCTGGTCTCCTCATCGCAAAATGGTTATAAATGCAGCTTCTCTGATCAGGCAATATTTTGTTTCTATTATAATTCTGGTAATTGTTACGTTCCGGCGGCTTTACAGGTTTTTAAATCGAAAATTATCCCACAGATTTTGTATGGCATCCCAATCTGGTTAAATGCCATGGATAGGTTGATTGACTACAATCTCAATTCTTACACAAAGTGCTAGGGTTACCAAGTTGTGTTCCCTACTTGGTGCTTTGTCCAGAGACCGGATTTTTCTCTTTGGAAATGATGGCTTGGCTGAGATCATTTCAATTCTAGCTAAAACTTTTCTACAACTCTGACCCTGACAGTTTATTATTCCAACTATTGCTGGACTCCAAATCTCCCTTTGGGATTACTGCCCTTTAAAAAAAAACTGAAATGGATTGGCTTAGATAGTGACTCCTTGGGCTCACTAAATCAAAGGCAAGCCTTCAAAATGATCAAAAGAAGAATTTTGGACATTAAATTCCAGGAACTATGGAATGCAGCCAATAAGACCACCACTATTTTCTCACATCGCCTTTAAGATTGGAAAACCAGCTGCCTTCCTTTCCCTGCTTAAGTGTCCATAAAAATGTAGGGCATCCTCTCTAGCCAGATGCAATGTCATGGCTGCAGCTTTACTATGTGATAGGTTCGAAGAATCCTATACCTCAAAAGACATTGCTCATGTGAGCAGGGTGCATTGGAAACTCTTGCTCACATGTTTCTGCACGGCCCACACCACCAGAGTGATCATTCCAAATTTGTGGCACTGGTCCTGTCACAATTGGATGGAAAATCTGCAGATAAAGTCAGTTTTATGTTATCTGTAGAGGTGCCTGACATCCTGGAAAGAATTGCAGATTTCATCAGCTCAATTGTGAGAAAGTGAAGCCTCGCTTTCAATTACATTTTTTGGGGGGGGTTTGGTCTTCTGCTTTTCCTCCTGGATTTTGTATGCATGGGACACTTAATGAACCAGTTTTGTTTTGTTTTATTCTCTTTATGCCAATAAAAGTTTTGTCTTGTCTACTACAAAGATTCTTTCCACTTATCTCAGAACTTTTAAAGCAGCAAAATATAGTTATTTCTGTAATCCCTTGTCCTCTCCTCTCTCTCCCTCTCTCTCCCCTGCCATCTTTAAATATTATTTTGAAATTTTACATGGGATTAAGTAGCATTATCACACTCAATAATCTCTGTAATATATGACAACACATAACCAGATCATAGGTAGGGAGCATGAGAATTTCCAGCTGTTTTTAGACTGTAAATCCCTGCCAGGATAGCCAATGATAAGTGATGATGAGAGCTGTAGTTTAGCTACATCTCTCTCTCTTGGTGTTCCGTGCTATCAAGTCAGCACCAATTCACTGCAAGCCCAATAGTTTTCAAGGTAAGTGAGATACTGTATTTAAGGAGTGGCTTTCCCAGTTTTGCTCCCCCCTATGAATTTCCATGGCCAAATGGGGATTTGAACCCTGTTCTCCAGAGTCCTAGTCTGTCATTCCAGTATCCACTACACCAAATTGAAAATCCTCGTCTATCAACTGCACCACACTGAAAATCCCAGTTACTTCTAGAGGACGGCATGTTCCCCATTCCTGACCTGGATGGAAGCACAGCATAGCACACCACACCTGAACCACTCATCCTGAAATAGCACTGCTGTTTAACAATTAGTGTCATGGTGCTGTGATGGTTTACAGAGTATGACCCAATGGCCTTTATGAGGTTGATTTGCTCTTCTTGGGATGTAGCCATGACAAAAACAGAGCAAAGTGGGATTGACCAGCAGTGCTACAGCCAATTGTGCTGTTGCATCACCAAAGGAAGGAGTGCTCCCACTGCTGTTCCTGATCCCACATCAATTAAAGCAGCTGTGTCGTAAGAGAGAGCCAGTATGTTCTACTCTGTGACTACAAGTCCTAGCATTCTGTAGGACGGCGCCATGACAGTTGAAATGGTATCTCATATAATTGTTTAGTACAGATATAATCCCAGGGCTTCACTAAACAAGATGCCGATTTGATATATAGAGACAATGTGTCCTTAAGAGGAAAAAGCTGTTTATTCTAACACAAGTTTACATCATCCTACATTTTACAAATTAGTATACTTTTATCCTTCAATTGATGAATTGGGAAGCAGCATGGCTTTGTTTGCATGTCTGATGTTTGGCACACTTAATGGTAAAAATGTGTGTGTGTGGAGGGATTGGTTCTAAGAGGAGTAACTACATATTTGTTCTTAGCACATAATCTGTCCTCCAGTCTTAGGATAGAACATAAACTCTACCCTCTTGCCCGGAGAATAAGGGAATCACAGGCTAGTGATGGAGCCACCCAATCCTCTAAAGAAGTATAATGTGACTAAAGCTTTTGGTCTGAAATGGATTTAAATATGTGCATCTTGAACTATGACAGTTAAATATGAAGTCTCAACACAGTGAGTGTAAAGATCTGTTATACAGTACAGGCCAGCAGTAGGCAGTAGGATTTGTAGATAATGTAAGAGAAAAAAGAGACAGGTGAATTCAAGATCAGATGGTAGAATCACATCAATTACATATCCTTTATCACTTGCTGTTTACCTTAAAAAAATTGTAAACCAGAGATCTGGGAAGGATAGAATTTAGTCTCCTTCCTCCCCTCTTGGGGTTACTGATGTCTGTTTTGTGGAGCCATTTAACTTTCTACTTGGTCTAGTTATCTGTTTTATGCCAAGGGAAGTTTAAAGATAGTGATAGGCAATAATAATACAATAAAAAGGCAATAAATATTCATTGAAAAGAGAAGCGGGAGGGAGGGAGAGAGTGTTGATCTTAGGCTGTGCATGCCTTGACTCAATGGGAGATTTTTCAGTTTGTACAAGTTCCAACAGGCATGTCATTATGTTCAAAAACAAACCTATGATAAAGTGAGAGTAGAACTGTCATTTCAGGAAGCAGGAACAATGGTTTTGTGTCTCTGTCTTGGATCCATTCTTTGTAGTCTAACTGTAACAGCTCCATACATATATCTAGTGTGCAAATACCTAATGGGATAATTTCCACTGCAATGAGTAATGTCCATCTTCCTGTCTCTTCCTCCTAACAATCTGGAATCAGGACCAGCTTCTCTTCTGTGATGACTGTGACCGTGGCTATCACATGTATTGCTTAAACCCACCAGTCTCTGAACCTCCTGAAGGTAACATTTCTTGGAGTATCTGAAAAGGAAATTATAACTACCGGTATATGCATATACATATACATATATGGAAGAGCAGGAGAAATAGCACACTTTGGCCCTTTATTGGTATTGTTAAGAAGCAATAAAAGACTTACATTTTTAATATTTGTGTAGATAAAAGGATTTGGGCAATTTCTTCATCCTCTGTAATACCATGTAATACAAGCTCTGTAAAACAAGCTGTATTTTCTACCTTTGGTAATCTGCCTAATCATAGGACTGGTCCTATGTGTGTATTTGCACTGCCATGTGGCCCTAAGTCCCTGGCACAGTGTCACACATCTTCCCTGTGGCCCCCAAAGGGTTGGGTACTTTTTGATCTATGTGCATGAAGTCATTCTTGTATTGCATCTGGTCAGCCTAGGCCTGCTTCCCCCAACCTGGTGCTTTCAAGGTCAGTTAGATTGTAACTCCTATTATTCTCAATCAAAAGGCCCAGTGCTGTGCTGGCTGGAGATGATAAAAGCGATACGCCAAAATATCTGGAGTAGACTTGCCTAGATCAGTACCATGAAACTTTGAATACATTGAATAACAGTGAAATACTTCAGCAACAGAACAAGAAAGAACACAACTTTTCTGATTTCACTTCTGGTTATTAGATCATATTCATTTAACATCTTAATACTTGTTTATTTATTTAAAATACAGTCATGTGAAAAAGCAAGTACACCCTCTTTGAATTCTATGGCTTTACATATCAGGACATACAGTGGACCCTTGACTTACAGACGGCTTGACTTACAGACTTTTTGAGTTACAGACTTCTCTGGCTGCAAAATTTAGGTTTGACTTGCAGACTGAGTTTTGACTTACAGACCAGAAAAAAACCAAAATGGAACAAAAACAGCCTGTTACAGGATTAATCGGTTTTCAATGCACTGTAGGTCTATGGAGACTTGACTTACAGACTTTTTGACTTGAGACCCTCCTTCCAATACGGATTAAGTTCTCAAGTCAAGACCCCACTGTAATAAAAATCATCTGGTCCTTAGCAGGCCTGAAAATTAGGAAAATATAATCTCAGAGGAACAACGACACATGTCATATCACGCCATGTTATGATTTATTTAACAAAAATAAAGCCAATATGGAGAAGCCATGTGTGAAAAACTAAGTACACCCTTACTGCTTCCATAAGAATTAAGAAGCTAAGCAGCAAGCAGCCAGGTGCTACTATCTCAATGCCTTTGGGTAATTGATAATCAGCAAGTGTGACCACCTCTATAAAACCTGAAGTTTTAGCAGTTTGCTGCTCTGGAACATCCAAGTTAACACAATGCCAAGAAAGAAACCCATCAATGATTGTAGAAAGCAATTGTTGCTGCCCATCAATCTGGGAAGGGTTATAAGGCTATCTCCAAACAATTTGAAGTTCATCATTCTACAGTGAGGAAGATTATTCAGAAGTGGGAAACATTCAAGACAGTTGTCAGTCTTCCCAAGCAAATTCACCCCAAGGTCAGACAGTGCAGTACTCAGGGAAATTGTAAAACAACAACAAAAAAACCCCAAACACCAAGAGTTACACCTCAGACTCTACAGGCTTCAGTTAGCATGTTAAATGTTAAAGTTCGTGATAGCACAATTAGAAAAAGATTGAACATGGCAACATGGCTTAGATTTGCAAAGTTGCACCTGGACAAACCAGAAGACATCTGGAAAAATGTCCTTGGACAGATGAGACTAAAGTGGAGATGTTTGGCCATAATGCACAGCACCACATTTAGTGAAAACCAAACACAGCATATCAGCACAAACACCTCATACAAAATATCAAGCACAGTGGTGAACGGGTAAATATTTAGGCTTGTTTTGCAGTCACTGGACCTGGGCACTTCACAGTCATTGTGTCAATCATGAACTCCTTTGTATGCCAAAGTATTCTAGAGTCAAATGTGAGGCCATCTGTCTGAGAGCTAAAGCTTGGGTCATGCAACAGGAAAATGTTGTATGACTCCTCAATTGAAGGGTCATGCAAATCTACAAAGCATACCAGCAAATCTACAAGAGAATGGCTGAAAACGAAAAGAATCAAGGTGTTACAATGGCCCAGTCAAAAGTCCAGACCTCAACCCAATTGAAATGCTGTGGTGGGACCATATGAGAGTTGTAAACAAATGGCTACAAACCTCAGTAAACTGAAGCAGTGTTGTATAGAAGACTGCCCAAAATTCCTCCATTTGGCTTTATTTTTGTTAAATAAATCATGACATGGTGTAATATGCCATGTGTTGTTCATTTGATGTTGTATTTATCTGATTTTCAGACCTACAAAGGACCAGATGATTATGTCCTGATATGTAAAACCATAGAATTCAAAGAGAGTGTACTTTCTTTTCTGTATTTATATGCTGCCTTTCTCCTAAATGGATCACTTTCTTTTTGTTCAGTCCGTCACATTCCTAAGGATAACCTTGAACCATATCCTTTGCTTCCATTTCCGTCAGAATTTTGAAATGCTTGACAGATTTTAAAACATTGCCTCATATTGTGGTTGTAGTTCATCTCTTAGGCAAGTGATGAAAACGTAAAGGAATTTGGGCAATGGAAATCTGATTCTATTGAAATGTTTGGGAACAGTTGATATTTTAAAAAAATGATTAGGCATCCATTGTTTATTTGATTAGTACTACAAATTTGATAGTTTCTTGGTATCTTCAGTGGATGTTACATCTGTAATTTCCCATAATATTTGATGGCGGTGGGGCATGTTAATGGGGAAACTTAATTAATTAAATCATTAAAAGTCTTTTCTTTACCCCAAATCTCCACCTACACAAGATGTAGGCTACCTGCCAAATCTAGGAACAATTTGTCTCTTTCCAGTCAATCTCTACTGTGATGCTTGTATAGCGTTGATGCTCCTCTCCTTCAGTTGTGGTGGGATCATTTGGTTCCCCCACCCACCAAGGTGCAGTGATACAGGAGATTGACCTTCCATCAGAGCAGATTGCCCATGGGGCCCCAAAAGAGACTTGAAATCTAAATTGGCTGTTTGCAAATGGCTTTTGGAAATAGGTCAAGAGTCCCATAAGATCGGGCTGAAGTGCAAGGAGGCAGGATGCGTCCCCCTGCCCTACATCCTTTTAAAATCTATCTTGTGTTTATTTACAGGAAGCTGGAGTTGTCACTTGTGCCGAGAACTCCTCCAAGAGAGAGCTTCTGCATTCTGCTTCCAGCCTTAAAAGGAATCGCCATGGAGCAGGACTGGGATTGTTCCTGGACTTGTGGCACCAGCACACAACCTGTCCTCCACAACCCAAGGATATGTGTAACCACAAGTACACCTGTACACACATGAAAGAAAATGAACATTCAATGAATTATCTGTGGTGTTTGCTGTCCAAGTGTAGATTTCACAAATATTGTACCTCCTGGGTTCTACTAGAAGGAGCACACTTTTTTTAATGTTTTGGATGGATTCTTTCCACTGCTGTGCATGATTGCAGATACACTGTAATAGATTCAGACATGTTATGGTAATAGTGAAGGGGAAACTGTTGTAACTGTTGATACTTAGATGTTTAATTTGTGTGGCATTGTGTTTTTCATCTGATCTACGTATATCCCACCCCTGCACCACCGATAGAAATAATAACATTGTTTCCACAATCACTCTTGGATGCATGAAACATCCTTCTTACAAGCAATATTTAAACACAAGTGGTCCCTGAAGAATGCAGTATCTCAATTTGAGCAATAAACCCCAAACCAAACATTAGAGCAAGAGTGGACAAGATGCAGATCTCTAGGTGTTGTTGGACTGCAGATCCCATCAGGTTTAGAAAGAACAGCCAATAGTGAAGAATCCTGGCAGTTGTAGTTCAACAAAATCTGGAAGCTCATACTTTGTCCACCCCAGCAGTATAAGGAAAAGCAAGGGTGCCATTAAGCTTCTCCATCTTCCTGGTATTTGTACAAAAAAAGTAATAATGGTATTCTGTCATTGCCTTAATATTCCCCACTCTTCATCAGCTACTTTGAGGGGTGGGGTGGATGATAACTTGATGCCTTCATGTCATGCCTCTTTTCAAACTACACGTTACCCATTCAGATCATGGGAATCCATGCACATCTCAATAATGTATATATTGGGCCTAAGGTCCAAGTTGACCTGACATGTTAAAATCCAGATCTGCCCAAATCATGTCAGAAAGAGTGCCAGGGGCTAGTAGCAGGAAGTAAACCTTCTGATTAAGATAAGAAATTATGGAGAAGGTTCCGCTTTTCTTACTAGTAAATCAGATCCTCAACCATGCTTTATACAAAAGTAGGCAAACCTGAGTTTAAACAAATAGATCTCAGCTCACCTCAATTTACATTCTTGCTTCAGGCTTCATAGGAAGATGTAAAGCAGGAGGAATCAGGGTGCTTAGGATAGGACATCCAGAATCACATGACTAAGCTGCATGGGCAAGTCTGATAGGAAACAACACTATATCTTATCAGGCTATTGATTCGTCTTCCTCAGTACTACCTATAGTGGAACTCAATGACTTTCTGAAGTTTCAGTAAGGGTCTTTCCCATGTAGATCTCTCTTACATAGAGGTGCCAGAGAATGGACCTGGAAACGTTTGCATGGTCTGTTTCTGCATTCTGATCATTCCAGAGCATAAATGCACCATTGATTTCAATGGGAGACTAAGGGTGTGATTAAGAGGGAAAATACACATTGATCCACCATGATCCACCATGGAAATCATGTTTCCCCAAGTGCGCTTAGTTTAGCCATCCAGGCAGGAGTCAGCAAAGAGAGAGAGAGGAGGAAATTAACAATCAGCCCTTCTTTGCAGCTTCTAGTGTAGCTGCCCAGATTTGTCAGCAGGGGCAGAGGCATGGGTGCAGCAGAAGCTGCCTTAACAAGTTGCAAACAAGTGCTGATTGGCAATTTCTTCCTTTCTCTTTCTTAAATTTATTTTCTAAATGGTATAGCACAACTTTGTTCTAGTGTTGACATGATGTCTTTAAAAAAAGTTTAGAGACTGTTAGTGCTTGGTTGAGGGGAATCATCACCTCTTTAAGTGCACCTTTACTCTTTTTTTCTTAACACCTTGCCACTAGCTCCCCCTGCATATGCCCTCTTTGCTTTTCTCTATCGGGTCAAGTGACCACACTGAACTGATTCAAATGCATTCAGTTGGAAAAAAAGTAGAAACAATAGCAGTGGAGGAAAAAAGTATGGGTTAGGAAGGGGAAAGTCCAGGTTGATTTGCATTGATTTGTATTTCTTTTAGTCAACAGAAAATAACAGGAACCAGACTTTCCCAATCCTGAAGCAATTCCCATATTTGTTAACCTAGTTGCCCCATAAACAGATGTCCAATCTCTCTGGACTATATCAATAAGCAGGAAAGATACAAAACATAAGGCACAGAGCCCCACCAAAGATTTCTCCAATTTCCCGAAACATTTTTCAGTCTATGGAGCATAAAAATTTAGCGCTGAGATTTTAACTTGCAGTCCAAGAAGAGAAATGTTAGATTTTCATGGATTAGGGATTGCATGCTGAAGGTACAATCTGATGGGCATTTAGCTCACTGTTTGGTCTGCTTCAGGGGCAGGTTGATTTATTCCTTTTTGTACTGATCATGCCATGTAATCACTGGAGTCAACCAGACCATCCCCAGAGCATTCCTACTTGCATCTTTCTGGGTCCTTGTCAGGGTCTTCTATTTTTTGATGCAGTTATGATTGCTCCATTTTGGTTCATTTCCAGCGTGTGTGATGATTATAAATGAACCAAAGCTAGATTCTGGGTATCAAGGCTCTTTCTGCTATCAATCTGCTATATTGTGAAGCAGCTTAAGAAAACAGCCGCTTCAGGATATTGGTGAATTAAACACTTCCACTACTCCTCCATTGTACCTGGCATTGGATTTGGCTAAGAGCAGGTTCTTGACCTGATTTTTAAGAAAAAAAAATCAAAGTAAAAACCCTCATTGTCCCTTCCTCTCTCCTCCCTCTTCTGGCAGGCAGTTTTCAAATTTTATTTTTATATAAGCGATACAGTGCATCTGTGCTGCACTAGCGGAATCTTTTTTTAAAAGTTCCTCTGACACTCTATGGAAGAGCAGAGGAAGTGTTCAATTTGTCAATATAATGAAGTATCTCTCTTTTTAAGCCATTTCACAATATGGCAAATTGACAGCAGAAGAAGCCAGAACATATAGATTTGATTGAGGTCTGGTATGCTATACAGAGGTGACAATCACACCAAATGGCATAGCGGACCTCTACCAAACACCAGTCCATCATATTTAGCTGACAACAGCCCACTCCAAAACAGTTTGTGTAGACAAGTCCTTACAAATCTGATGCTATGACCTGTTAGGATGGTGTCGCAAGTAATAGTAAAGGCTACTCCAGTGTAGCTATAAGGGAGCACATTTAAGCATCTTTGTGGTAGTGCTAGGTTCCAGTTGCACCAATATTTCTGGTGCAATAGCAGCATGTTGGTAATCGCTTTTAGAGTCAAGGAAATCTCTCTCTCTCTTTTTGCCCTTTTCTCACACTCTGAGTTTGTGAACCATGGTGAATTCTAATCAGTACCAAGCTGAAATGGAATTCTCACACATCTCCAGAAGATGAGCAAGCCTGTCTGTTTCACTTTCCCCACATTTTGATTTTTTTTTGTACATTCCAATTAAAAAAAAATAACCTAACTGAGATGAAATTTGCAGCCATCCCTACTTCATCACTAGTCTTGCCTGGAAGTACTGAGCAGCAGCACCAGCACTAGCAAAAAGGAGCAATCTAGTCTCAAATGTTTCTGCAGTTTCTATTATGGGATCTGAAGAGACATTAAAAAAAAAGTTACAAGTAAATCATGTTGCATTTGTTTCCCTAAAAGAAGACCCACAATCTTTGGCCTTTCACATCAGGCATGAGTGTGGTGTGGGAGATACATAAATGCAGCTTTCCCCATCCTAAGAGTCTTCCCGGTACCTTGCCCTCCAGCAGCAGCAGCAGCAGCATCCATCATTTCCCACTGGCCCGGCCAAACTGAGAAAGGCTGTACATAATGCTTTTAAAGCAAAAGGTGAAGTACGAATCTGAGACTTTCATGACTAGTTCTATGGATGCTAGATCTGTGAATGATTAATATATAAGCTACCTTCAGCTTCTGGAGATTGGATGGTTAAAGCAGGTGACTGTTTGCTCTGTGAACAGCCCTTTCTGTGTATGTTCTTTTTAAAAGATCCTGTGTGGCATTGCCAGAGACAGTACACAAGGCTGGTCTTAGCTTGAGTTTTGCTTCTCAGAACATCTTCATGTTCCATTGATCATTTTTGACTTTTTAACTTTCATTTGATTTTAGAGAATCACCTGTCTGTAAATACATTATATATGTTCTGCAATGGATCCATTGTAATATACAGTGGGACATTTTTCAATAGTAACTATTAGTTCTAAACATAAGCCGTGCATTTAGGTAGGAAGTAATTGAGTTTTATTTTGCAAAAATGCAAGCAGGCATGTTGATTTGTGAGGGGCGGGGGGAGGAAATCCAGAAGTAGCACCATTGTAACACACATTAAAAAGAGGATCAGTTGCTAAAACTCACAAAGTCATAAGCCAGCTTTTGAATTTCACAGCCTGCTTCCTCAGGTCATGGTTTAAACAACTGAAAAGAGAGATGAAAACTAAATGGTGCTGGTAAATACCATGGTGTCCATCCAATACCCAATATATGTGGCAGGTTTTAGAGACTCTAATATCCAAGTACAATGATTCAGTACTCTGGAAAGGAAGGTTCACTTCATAAAAGGTTAAACAATTTTGTGCCCCATTGATTTCAATAGTGAATTTGTTTAATTTTCTCAATGTAAGCAATAAGACTTGTAGCCTGATATGTATCCTTGACTGATTGCAGATAAGACTCAAGCACATTTCAGTCTTACATTTGGTGGGACTTATTTCCAAAGAAGCATACAAGGGATTTTGGCAGCTGGTATATAGTAGTAAGCATCCTTCAGTCTCGAGAGACTATGGTAACGTGCTCTGTATGGAGGTCTTGGAACAGCGTTTAGTGTGGTTGAGAAGGCCAATTCGAGAGTGACCATCCCTTCCACACTGGAGACAAATACAATCTGTCCCCTGTCCAGCCCCCTGGTTTTGTTGGTTTCGGGACTGCCTCTTTGCCTCGGCCTGCTGGACAAGTGTCTCTTCAAATTGGGAGAGGCCATGATGCACCACCTGCCTCTAGGCTGAATGCTCAGACGTCAGAGTGTCCCATCTGTTGAGGTCCATTCCTAAGACCTTCAGATCCCGCTTCGAGATATCCTTGTATCGCAGCTGTGGTCTCCCTTTGGGGCAATTTTGGCTGCTGGTATATACCTTAAATATAAACATCTGCTATATCCTTACAGTCATGTGACCAAGCATAGTCCCAGCATGGTGCAAGGCTGGCATTCTTACACTGCCAACAACTTCCACTACCAGTTGTATGATTATGCACAGCAATTTCATTAAAAACAAACAAACCACCAGCCTGGAAGGAATGGGAAGTAAAGTAACATTTCAGCCTCTGGAGGATTGAAATGTCTCATCAGTCCACACAATAGTATGCAGATAAGATTGACTAATAACCTTTAACAATGGGGTTGCAACTGAGTGATAGAACAATAGCATGGGTGGGCCCTAGAGACAAGGGACTTGGTGTCCTGGTACTTTAAGGTGCCCTGTCCCAGGTAGTCTTGATCAGTAAGTCAAAGGGCAGTTCTTGGAAATAAATTCTTGTAAAGCAAGTAGATTTCAGACAAATGCACTGAGAATTAAGAGACAGGCTGAAAAGTGTGATCTTGAAATGTTGATATGAATATGCAAACTCTACTCAGTCCTTTGCTGAATAATAGTCTGAATACGAGTCAGCATAAATAAGAATACCAGAAGCTGATGTGGCATTATGGCAGGCCCAAGAAAACAAAGCGAATGAGAAAGAACTTAAGCACATACATATACGGTCAAGAAAAATATAGTGCATTAAAGCACCAAATGAGAAAGAACTTTGGCTGTCAATAACTCTAAGTATTTTTAAATGCTTTGCAAATCTATTTAGTTAGTTAGATTTATATATTACCCCATTACTGCAAGCACTGCTCCACAGTTTACAGATTAAAACTTAAAGCCCCACATTAACAGCATACATTAAAACAATATGATGGTACACAACTATAAAATCTAGGATTCATACAAAAAGAAAAAAACCCAGCATCTTGCTCTTCAGTTGTTGAAGGTAGCTTTGAATAATTCTGGTTTTACCAGTTTCCTGAACCTAAGGAGGGAAGGAGCCTGGTGTATCTCATTTGGGAACTTGTGCTGGGGGGTGGGCATCAACAAAGAGGCCTGATGCTTTGTCATCACCTTTTTGGCCCCCTTAGTATGGCCATATTTAGCAACATGGATTGAGAAAAGTGGGTGGAATAGGTAGCTGATTTCTAGTAGAGACATTCTTACGAGTATCGATATCCAAAACCATGAAAGGCTTTATAGGTCATAATGAGCACCTTGAATTGAGCATGGACACTGACAGGGAGCCAAAGAAGGCATGCCAAGACTGGGGAGATATATGATCAAATTTATTAGTTCCATTTATCCATCTTGCTATCACGTTTTGGACCTGCTAAATTTCTGTACTGTTTTCAAGGGCAGCCCTACATAGAGAGCATTACAGCAGTCTATTTTTGAGATTACCAATGTGTGAACCACTGTTGCTAGGCATTTCTTGTCCAGATAGGGGCACAACTGGGCAATCAACCAAAGTTGATAAAAGGCAGTTTTGGCCACAGCAGATATTTAAGCCGGCATAGACAGTGCCAGGTCCAGAGGTACCCCCAAAGCTATGGACCTGATCCCTCAGGAGGAGTGCAACTCCATCAATGCTCAGTAGGTTTGCCTCTACCAGTCTAACAATCCTCCTAACAGTACAATCACCATCTTACCAGGCTTCAGGTGGAGTTTATTGGACTTCATCCAATCCATTATCAATGTTAGGCAGTGCTCAAGGACCTATACAGCATCACCTGCAGATGAAGAGAAGGGGTGATCAAGCAGCATATCACTGGTGTGCTGGTAACAGTGATCTCCAAATCCATGTATGACTTATCCTTATGACTTCATTTATATATATTTTTTAAAAAAATTGGGGAGATGATTGACCTCTGTAGGACCCCATAGCAGAGGTCCCAAGGAATAGAGACATAATCCCAAATGGTATCATCTGAGATCATTAAGCAAGGACCAGAACCAGCTGATAATGGAGCTCCCAATCCCTAAATTTTATAGTCTTTGCAGAAAGATACAATGGTTGACTGAAAAACGTTCCAGAAGAACCAATAGGACCACACTCCCCCATCTTCCTCCCTTAGGAGATACTCCTGCAGGGCGACTGATGTAACTTCCATGCTACAGCCTAAATCTTGATTGAAATGGATCTGGAGTATCAGTTTCTTCCAAGGACTCTTGGAACTGGTCAGCTATCACCCTCTCAGTCTAGGTAATGAACAGTGCTTGAGTTTTGTGTTTCTTTTGATGGTTTTCTTGAGAGTCAAACTAACATTTAAAGGTATCTTTGAATCCTGTGCTCCAGATTCCCTCTTTTTAGAAAAGCAGTTGACACCTCATCCAATTTGGAAGATGGTGAAGGAAGAAGGGGTCAATCTGCTGAAAATTTCTCAGGCGCTAATCACAGGAAATGGTACCTTCAGAGAGTGATTTTGACATGCACAAGAATAAAAGGTTACTAGTTCTTAGTCCTCACAATGGTTTTGCTCTACTTGATCAAAAAAAGACATAAGGGCCAGAGTCAGGCTAGTGATTTATGCAGGTATAAGCTACATTGGGCAATTCATCATGCTGAATTGCTGCTAACTATTGGGCCCGGCATGCTTTGGTCCATGGTGTCACGAAGAGTTGGATATGACTTAAGGACTAAACAACAACAATTGAGGAGTCAGTAATGCTATGAGGCTCACACCTGGTTGTACAACATATTTGCTGTTAATAGTACAATTGATGCCTAATTGGTGGAAATTTGGCCTGATAAGTTACACAATTTAACTTGATATACACATCAATCATTGATAGGATTTTGGCCCAGAAATGCCAAAAACAGGATTCTGACACATTTAAAGTAGTGCTTTCTTTGTCCTTAAATTATGCCTGAGTGTGAAATCACAAGCTGATACAATGCATATTTCCACCTCCTATATCCCTCCAGGTATTTAATTCCTTCAAAGCTGCCTGCCTTCAGATGTCGGACATACAAAATGAAGCTGTGCTATTTTCCAGTTGACCAGTTACGAAACAGCTTAATTTGCCAAATGTGGATGGACCCAAAGTTCATGTTAGAACAAACTTTCCTGTTCACAGAGCTCTGCTTCTAATGATGTGTAAGCTGAGCTCTGAAAGGACACAAGTGATGGCTGTTGGTGAGCCTACAGCTGTGCCACAGAAGGTGGGGCTATCTTTCATTGTCCAAATGTAGGGCGTGATTATCTTCACATTGTAGGGAGACCATTTGCAAGGGAGAACTGGTAAAG